GCTGCGTGAAGCTTACGAAGCGTGAAAATCACGCCTGGCGTGGTAATAACGCTTGCGTTTCGTGAACTCTGAATCCACACTGAGGAGTATATTTCTCCCTGTTTATTGTATTGTAGTTTGATCCCAACCTTTGTTGTTGTTTGGACTCTCATTGACTTTTTGCATTTCTTTATTAGTCAATAAATCATTGTTACCACAGTGTTTAAACATATTAGCCATATTCTGACGGTACTTTTGTACCTGGCGCCCTTCTCAGTACATTCCAAGTCAGAGTTTTAGTACAACCTAAGACCCGGCTAGCCGGCTGTACTGTAGGTAACTTATTCATCTTAGAGTAAATTATTTTGAGGCTACAGACCGTCGCGGACAGGTCGCTGGTTGTCTGAACATAATATGGATAGGAACATTTCACGTCAAGATTGATAAAACGTATATACTTTCAAGTTATAATAGCAAAATATCAGATACATTCTCTATCTTTAAACAAACAAACGAATTATTTGCACTATTTTGTACATGGCACACGGAAGTTCAATCTGACTTATAAAATTTCGTAAAAATTCATGTAAGAAATCTTGGATTATTTTGCAAAAAACTGTACGTAAGAACGCAAGGTTTTTGTACTTAACTTTTACGTGCGCATAGACATACGTAACTATGTGTCAAATATGACAAAATAATTGAATGTGCATAACACTACTTCCTCGGTAACTTCCTTTTATTGCATGCCCAGCGGTATTGAACAAAGTCCAACGTCTTCATTTAATCGTTCAGAACACGTCATTTTTGTTATGTTGAAGGTCGTTCGGCATATCCTTAACAGAGCCCAGTACATAAGCGAAGGCATTTCCCGAAAACCGCGTCGCGATGCGCCAATCGGTTCGCTGTGAAAGGCATCATTTCTGTAAAGACTGCGCATCTAGTTGAAGGATCCTTCCTGAGGCATCTCCTCTCAGCCGTCACCGTAGCTAGCCCGTATCAAAAAGAAGGTCGACGTCTACGATTTCAGAGGTTGCACTCTCTAAAAATCATATTGACCTCATAGGCACATTGTGCAAAATCTTGGCGCCACCAGACAACGCTTTCCCGGCCCGGATCACATATGAAGTTGGGAACTCGGAGCGGCCGCCAGCCGACTGATTCAGAAGAGCGCTCCAACGCAGTTTGAGCGGGCCGACGGGCCCTCGAGGGTCGGCCTGCCTTGGTCGGGCTATGTAGTGGTCGTGCCGTCGGGCCGGTCGGGCGGTCGGGGGTCGTGCTCGGCCAGGCTCGGCTCGGCACGGGTCGGCAGCGCTCTGCAGCGCACTGCAGCGCTCTGGCGGTGGCTAGCGGAACTAGCACGAGGAGGAAGGTGGTATCGCACTCATAGCACTCGCACTTGTCTTTGAAAAGAAGCGCTACGTACGGGACACACGACGCCGACGAAAGAGACGCCACGACTTCAAGATTCAATTAGCTGAACTGCAACTCAATTCGTAAAATGGGTAAGTCGAAATCATTCTGTAACTGTACGTTTTCCACTTGCACGGCGCCTAACGTACTTTTATGGTTGACATTCGTCGTCGAATGTGGAGTCTCTGTGCCGGCACAATAGTTTGCACCCAGGACCGAGATTTCACGGGCATGCATCCTTACCTAATTTTAATTGTTTGTATGTTATTGTTTCTTCATTAAAGTATGTCTACGACTGTCCATGATTTCGGCATGCCCTTATTGGCTCGATGTTTCCAAGACATAACCTCACCGTCATAGGCTGTGATGCTGCAGGCGTGCTGGTCTTGTCTCATTCTGAATCTCAACAATTCTCCGTGTCAAACAGTTCCCTTTGCTCTTGTGGCGTTTTATAATTGCGGAACGTCGTCTCCGTCTATTCCTGTAGAGAGAACTAAACTATTTTCGCCCAGTTCGTCTCGCGTCTGCCTAATGGCTTGGCATTCCCTCCCTTCACACAAATACGTTTTGTTGTTCTCTGTCGAGTCACGATTTCTGTCTTGGGACTTTTTAATCACTAACTCGACGAATAACGACTCTTACTACAGATTCTGGGAACCCCTCTGACGCCCAGTGGGAGGAGTTGTTGAACTTTATCAAACATGACGAAGAGATGAAGTCGGGCATCCTTCTTCATCCTACGGCCAAGGCAGCATATTTCATGAAATGGTCAACTCTCGCCAATAAAGTAAATAATGTGCCAGGTGCTACCGCGAAGAAAGACGGGAAGCAGTGGAAGTCTGTACGTATTGCCTCTCAATCGCAATAACTTAGTTCACTCATATAGTTTGGGATGTTAATGCTGAAAATCTTTATAGGCCTGGAACGGGTTGAAAGGGAGAGCCAGAGCAGCATATCGCAAGGTGGTCAGGCCTTACATCGAG